AACCGTATTTACATGCGTGCACAGGACGAAGGATCCCGGGATCGTTGTCAGAGAGCATATAGAGGAGGCTCAAAGGGATCGAGAGGCGCGCCTGAGAATGGAGATTTAAGGGGCCAACGTGGGTGTGGGTGGCTACAGGGTTCCAGATGGCGTCGTCGTCGTCGTTGCAACAATTCGCCGCCAACGTGACGCCCCTGCGCTTATTCCAACAGGACACTCAGTATATAAGGCCCTTCTACGTGGCATTTACATTATTCGGTCCCGGCTCAAATCTAATATTATGAATCACGCGTCCTGTCTCGGGTCCGTGTATAATGGGGTCGCAGGTCGGTCCGCCTCGCGCGGAATTCCTCGTCGTCGTTCTGCACGATAACGGAGAAACGGAACAAAGACATGAGAGCCTGCGAAAAGACATCTCGCGCCACTATCATCGAAAAATATCGCGAGTACGTGACCTCGAAATATCTTACGGATTAAAATACGCGAAGCATGACGAATTAATATTAATATTAAATCCTGCAAGTAGTGTATCATTTCGTAAATAACGTGAATGTACAATAATTCTTGTATACTCTCTGCTTCTTAATAAAGAATTCTTTAATTATACGTGTCGCGTTAATGAAGCGATAAAAAAAAGTCGACGCGAAAGGATGCCGACTGTTGCGCGATTTATTGATAGAACGAGAAAATGAAAGGGAGAAACAAGGCGGAGTGGTGTAACAAGATCGAGGGAGGCGAGAGAGAGAGGAGAGGATTTTCTTAAATTGCACTTTGTAGCTCCTGAGAGACCTTACACAGGGATTTCGACGCCCACGGCGAGGGATAACGAGGCGAGCACCGGGCCCCTTTTCCTTCTCTCTTCATGGAGGTGAGAGACACACACCGGTGGGTCCATCGTCGCAACGTGCGGCCCACGGGGACATAATTGATATCCGGGAAGAGCAAAAGGGCGGCGGACCGGTGGCGATGCCGCGCGCGGCGAGCAAGGAAGAAATTACCTCAGAGAGTAGGGGATGCTGGAGAGAAGACACGAAATGAAAAAAAAAGAAAAAAAAAAAGAAAAGGAACGAAGGACCACCGCGATCGTACGGGAATCACCGACTTGCCGAAACTCTGGCAAAGGCCACCTAAGCGCCGACAGAACGTTCTCTTCTGTCCCTCCTAGCTCCGTAGTTTGTTTCTCCGCTGATCTTTCCTCGGTCTCTCTCGCTAATTGACGGTTCTGCGCTGTGCAAACACGGAGTGACCACCTCCATCCGAGCTAATTGCTAATCGCAGCTTCGGCACGAATCCCACTCCTACTATCGCTCGTGTTTCTCTTTCGGGAATTTTGCCCTTGTGTACGCGCAACCCCGAAGTTACGAACTAAAATTTAAATGGCCCGGTCCCATTTAGCGGACGAAATGGAAGAGTGAATGTACCGCGAAATAAATCGAGTTGGATATCGTATATTGGATGAGACGTTCACCGGAATCGGTTGAACGGGTCGTCAAAATTAAGAGAATGTGTGTGTCGATAAAAAATGATACAAGAAAGGGATATCGAAAAATAAAACGCAAGATCTTATACAGGATTGGAAATATGAATATTATTATATCGTTCATTGCTAGTGAATTATTCATTATCGAATTTGCTCTTTCTGGAATTTATCTTTTAAGAATATAGCGCCAAGTTTGCTCTTCTATAAAATGACTCTGGATAGCTTATGTATCAATATTTATAATATCGGATTTAAAGATTCAGATTTCAACTTGAATAAATTTGCATTCGTACATATATACTATATCGACATTGTTCGTCATTAGAATATATACATGACTTTTCGATATTTTAAATATTTTTGAAATAAAGTTTCACGTCTGCCAAATGATAGATGAGATTATCACGTGATCGTTTAAAATGAGTATGCGCTAGTTATACAATGCAATATGCGGCGTGCAATCCCAGTTACAGCCATTCGGCAACATCAACCGTAAATTATAGTAGCGCACTGAGAATTTGCGATTTCTCGCTCGTGAATAATTGCTACTATCTTCAGCTATCTGCACAAGAGTATAATTTTATTACAGTATATTACGTCCCGCAAAAACGAAACAAACAGTACAGTGTCTGATAAAATATATTTGAAATATAGATTTAAATTTCAAAAATTTTAAACTTGAGGGAATTTCAAGAAATAAAATTTAGAATATTACGAAATATATAATAAACTAATTTTTGAAAAAATAAAAATTTAAATTAAACATTTAATCATCACAAATTGACGCAAAACAATATTCTTATCGCTTCTTTAATTTATAATTTTTTTATTGTTAATTAATCGCATACACATATACATATTTAAAAAAAAAGTTTTGATCAAAATAATTATAGAGCATGCATATATGCTATATGAATATTCTCATGGGTTAAATCATAAAGAAAGTTTTAGTAGTCTCTTCTTTAGATCAAAAGTACCTACAAAGCGAGGATCAGTCGATAATCCTCAAATGAATTTTGTCAATACAAAGCAGGTAAACCATGAAAAGCCCAGATAAACGGATTAGCCTTTGACGAAGAGAGCCTGGATTCCATGGTACATATAATAGAAACAGCGAGCGCGAGAACGCGTAATAAAAGGACTTCGCACTGCAATTTGCCGATCTCGTAAATATTTTTCCCTTGTAAAAGAAAACTTTACCTCTGTTTTGACTCAAAGCCTTAAAATATCTTTATATACATATATAAAATAGTTAACTTTTATTCCGCGCTAATTAAACAAATAGGTCCAAACTTGTTATATTTACTTAACTTTATACAGAATAAATGAACAAATCGATAAAACTGAAAGTAAAAAAAGACACTTGAGATCGCCTGCTCGGATCTCATAAATCAATCGTCTCTGAGTCACAAATGACAGTTACATTTCTGTCCCGAAATGATCGAGTATGTCGAAAACTACCGATAACGATGTCGAATAGATCTGTATTATTTAATTATTTATTTCTTTTTAGATATTCTTATTCGATTCGACTAACATTTATCATAACGATAAATGAGATATCAACCTTCACATCATTGATTGTTTGTCAAAATTCATGGAATAAAACACATTTTTTCTACGAAAAACTAATTTTTTTTCTAAGAAAAAATGTGACAATTCGTTCACCCACCCTATCAAAAGTTCTATAGAAAATAGGTACTGCTTTCACAAATTCTCACAAAAGCCCAGCTTCAAGCCAATTTCCGAGAAATAGCTTACGCCACATTTATTCGTTAAAACGGTGAGATGAATCGAGAGCCATATCCTCTCGAGCGTTTAGCAATCTTATCAAAATTATACGGAGATCACAACTCAGATATGATTCTTACTCTCGCGCGCAAGGGAACAGTGCCACTATTGCGATCCTCGATGCCCAGTCAACGACAAAATCTCACGGTTGAATTTTGTCGAACCTCGTCAAGACTCTCCTTACGCGTCGTTTAGCCCGCGCTTTGATCGCTTCGATTTGTGCACGAACAATTTTCCGCCTCTCAACGTCAGACCCGTTTACCTCTTCGGGATCACGAACGAAAGGGAGCATGGAGAAAACCACCAAAAACTTGTCAGCGAATTTAAGCGCGAACAAAGGCCCACCCGTCGGCGCGCTGTGCCTCTAAACGTTGAGATTATCATTGTGCCGATATTTATCTGTCAGTTTCTAGCCGCGGTTCCTTGCCCGGACATTGTCGTGTGGTAGGATCAGTAAATTCCGGGTCGTAGCCCACATTTTTCAGGTTGACAAATAGACGGACAATGAGACATTCCGAGGGTAGAATAACACCGTATTTAACTACCGTAAACCTTTTTCGTCGACCATCGCGATCCGGCTTTTGCGAAAACCGATGAAAATCGAACGTGCTTTAACGTAAATTCCGACACTGCCTTTTAAGCAGATTATATTATGTTACGAATTTTTCATCGAGATTCTCGAACAGAACATGTGCGGATAAATAGTCTGCTCAAAGCGCAGTAGGAAATTGTATTATATAAAGAAGTGTATATGCATGTATATATCTGTGTATGTAAAATAGGTTTCTGTAAAGAGAGAAGAGATAATCACTGCATGATGTGTGCCCATATATATATATATATATATATATATATATCATGGAGATTAGCTCCTCTCCTTTTGCAGAGATTTCTATTTACATACATATCTATGAATTTTATAAAATTGATTTTATAAAGAATATATAGAATATAGATATAGAGCAATAAGTCTCTGTTAACTTCAAATATTTTTAAAGAGATGGGGGTAATTAAAATTATTTAAAGAACGTTTCAGATTAAAATTAATTTCGATATTTAATATCATACGCAGTTTCGTTTAGGTAAACTCGTTTACCAGATTTGAAATAAATTATTTTCGTTTTTAAAATGAATCGTGTACGAATCACGATTTTATTGTACTTACGATTTCCTTATCTATTTGCACGCAAAATATATCTTTATTCACATTTTAGACAATGCAAAATAGATTTCTGCTAAGTTAGCAGAAGATACGAACAAAGTCGTTGGATTGCATTACAACTGTGGCTTATGCGCCATCGCACTACGATGCTGAGAAGCTTGTCACCCGTGCACAAATTAGACATCCAATGATATCAAAAAATTATAAATAGATATTTTGATAAAACAAGATAAAAATTGAAATTTATATAATTTAATATTACGAATCTAACCATTCCAATATTATATAGAAATATAGAAAAATTTATATTTTACATTATAAATAACACCGCATGTGTTATTAAAAATATAAAAAATCACAGCTCTAAGAATATTTTGAGATATTTAGAAATAAATTTTTATAAAAAAATTTTAATCTAATTTTTAATATAAATTTAAATAAATAATTTAATTAACTTAAATTTTCAAATTTTTCAAATTACACATTCTTATAAAATTACATTATTTTGTGCACGAAAAACTTTCCTATAAAATAAAAAGCATGCATATACAATCAATACAGACTCACCACATTGACGAAATCCTGGAACGTTACTGCTTGAACCCGTGATTCTTTCGCTCTGGTCAGAAGTATATCACGTTTGTTCGTCGGTATCTCTGCCTTCCATTCAGAACTGCTCAATGCTGTCAAAAAGTCCTCCAACGGTATCTCTCCAAAACCCTCCGGATCAAACTGGGTAATAGACAAACGAAATTAGATTCTTCTCCACCGAAAATAGATAAATAAACACTGTAAGTGATGCACACCTTGTCAAAGAGCATTCGCCATTTCTGTAACATAAAAACAATAAATATATTTTAGTCATATTCATTACAATTTGTACATAAAACAGATATCTTGTGAACAAAATTAATTCTTTCAATCTCTTAACTATTTCGTGCCATTCTATATGATTTTTGATACTGTAATAATAGTGTAAATATCATGCAAACTTTTTATTACTGAATCAAACTTTTATTGATAATTAAAGATAATTATGAAATAATAATATTTCAATTATTATAAAAGAAATAATGTATTTTAATAATTAATAGAAAAATTAGGCAGCAAGAACTAATAGTTTGTGTCATATGATTTCGGGACAATAACTTACATCATTAAGTAATTCCCGCCTGTACTCGGATTCGTCAATATCGATCTCCGAGGCCAGATCGGTGTGATCGGTAACGTATCCATCATAATGTGCACTATTCGCCTCGCTGCGTGCATACTCCTCTTCCTCCTCGACAGCACCGGCGATGGTCGGTATAGAGGCACCGTTTGCCAGTAGCATTACCGCGAGCGGCACGAGGTCACCGGGTGAATCTCCTCATTCCTCCCACTTTCACGTGCTTCCTGAAATACAAAGGAGCTACGTGCTAAACCATGCCATTTTTGAAGCGATCGATTTCGCTAATGTCGACGCCATTTAATATCAACCCAACATTTTTCGCATTATCGTCCGACGAACGATAATCCGCACGTGATTCATGCTCAGTCCTGATTTTACATAAACCCATCGATTACTTTTTATCTACTATATCTAAAATATATTGACGAACGCTCTCGTTTTGACGCGAAACGTTTCTATTTTAAACATTTATTAAATTAATTTTATCACCAGTTCAAGTATAAATCAAATTATTGCGATATTTAGAAACGACGAAAATAATTTGGCAACTCGCTGTAAAAATATACAGATGGATTCGACGCGGAACATTTCTATTTGAATATTTACTAAATTAGTTTTATCAACAGTTCAAGTATAAATTAAATTATTGCGATAATTAAAAGAGACAAAAATAATTTGACAATTCGCAAATTTGGAGATAGTAGCTTAATCGATTATGCGATCAAGAAAACTATTCGCTAAGCTCATAAGGACGATGGAAGTAAGGGTACGAGAGATATTGATCGTCCTTGCACTCCTTAAGGCGCATTGGAGCAGTGCCCTTGAAACTAGTCTGCCGTCCTAAAGCGGCGCAATGTGGCACAGCATGTTCGCGTGGCGGTGCCGTTTCCATGGCAATGCATCGATGATGGGATCGTGCCGACCATCCACCGTGGCGCACACGCTGTGCACACGGGGTGCATATCTCGTGATATTAACACGAATGCCATATAATTATTGTACGAAAAATAAACAACGAAATCAGTCTCTCCTATCCACCTTTGTAAAGTTAATACTAATTATATTATTTCGGAGTTTTTATATATTTACAATTAATAAAGTTCTTTCGCAAATAATTCTAAAGTTCCTGATATGTTTCAGAATTTTTCTTAGCGATTAAACGTAAAAAATAAGAACCCTAAGTTATGGGGCTGCTAAGTTTTTTCATTATATGAAAATTAATAATAACTTTTTTATCTCAAGCAGACTCGATTTGAGTTATAATAAAACTTTCCGACACTTAAAAAGTTAGTCCTTTTTTCAGAGCTCTTAAATATGCTATTTAAATATGCTATTTTTTAAAAACTTAATTTTTTTATTAATATTATTACCTTATATTAGATTATGAAAAGATAAAATTTTCTTGATGATTAACTCTTTAACGCAGAAATGTAAATTACCTTACAAATTATTGATAAAAAAGTAGCATTTGTTTGAAACAAATAGATATTTATCTGTTTTGAACAAAGATTTCTTATATCAAATAAATATTTTTTCACAACAAATAAATATTATTAGTTTCAAATAAATGATGTATAAGAGAGTATTGAAATAACTATTTATTTGAATAATTAATTTTTTCAGTATATTTACACTTCTATTCTCTTATTCAAAAATTCATATATTTCGTATAATTTACCAATCTGCAAATCGCATCGCGTAGTTCGATCGACATGAAACCCCATAACCATAGTGCATCCTAAGCAGTCCCGTCCAAACATACCCGGTCTCTTTTCCTACCTCCGCCTCTCTCTCTCTCTGTCTCTCCCCCTCGTATCCTTCTTTCGATGTTCGCGCGAACTACCCTTCGTTTCGGGTAGCACGGGTTACCCCTCGACCGTCGTCTCGGCTTCCGCAAAACCACCCGCATCCCCAACTCGAGTTCTCTCCGCCCCTTATCTGGCTTTCCTCGTGTATCGCGACGATGTCTCATAGATGTGTCGTACTAAACTCGGGGGCTGTTAAACTGAGACGAGCGTAAGGTCGTCGACCTTGGTTCTACAAAAGTACGTAGGGTTATTTGAAAAAGAAAATAAATTCAGAATCTCATTATTTCCCCGATATTCTCTGCAGTTTCAACGAACATAAAATGTAACGTGAAATCTCAAGAGAGAAATTTTACATTTTTAAATTTAATGTCCAGAATTTTCGAAATATTTCTCCTATTATTAAATTTGGTATAATTATTTAATGGAATTATTTCTTGCGGATATAAAATAATTACATAATTAAGATTGCGCTTTTGCAATAAAATTCAATAAAGATTTAATAAAATTTCTAGTATAAATTTTAGTGCAAATTTTATTTGCTTTTCAAAATTTTTATTAGTTATTGCATATGTTTTATTATTAATAAATTAGGGTTCCTTAAAACGCAGTCTTTCATAAATCTAAAATCTTGCATGTATAATTCAAGACTTTAAAATCCCGTCAAAATTATTATTCTACAGGGTGCAAAGACATCTAGATTCGCTCTTGATGCAGACGTATCCCTTTACAATCCACCCTACCGTGGAGTTGCGTTACTTTTGACACTGATCCGTGATGTGAAGTCAGCTTCACACACAAGATGCGACATGCAAGTAATCATAGCACGTTACTGAAATACTACACACTTTGTAGTGCACATACGTCAATATAATGGAATCCGTATAAATGCACCTATATTCTATGGCAGGATGCATTCAGAATGCATTCTACCATAGAACATATCATATATGCTAACGATTATTTGCGATTATATGAAACATTATTTGAAACAATAATTTTAAAGAGTGCAAAAGTTGAAACTAGATATACTTCTTTATTTATTCAAATTGTTTTTATAACTATTTAATTTTCATTATTAATTTTTAATGTAATTATCTACGTATTTACTTATTTTCATCGAACATATGAAATAAAAATATATTTATTATTAATAAAAATATATATATATATATATTTATCTTGTTATTAAAAATTTTCAATATTTTTTTATTCTAATATATTTTTATATCTTTAATAATAATTTTTCTTACTTTAGTTAAAGAACTGAAATATAGAATTTCAATATTTTATGTATAATATTAAAATGTGCAAATGTATAATTTAAATGAGATGAGAATAGTTTATAATTGATTTGTAAAGTGCTTTGATTACTTCGAATATGAGTAACAGTATTCGTGCGAGCATTACCATACTTCGTATAAATAAACCGACCATTGTGTACTTTAAAAAGTAGGTAAAAAGAGATAAAAGGTACGTAACCTGACGCTCGCTAAATGCGAACGTATACACACACGCAAAATGCACACACACACATATAAAGCCAGAAGCAATCCAAGAAAGAAAACATTTTTAGATATTTGCCAGATAGAAGTTTTCTCTTTTTGTACTCGATTCTTATAATACTAAAGAAATGCTCGATTTATCTGCACCATTTCTATATATAAACGTAACAATAATATCCTGGGAAAAATGTTTTATATATGACAATATAAAATTGTATAGAAATATATAAAATTATACATATAATCGCAAAATTATATATATGAAATATGTCCATACGTAATTAGATAAGTGGTTTTTATATATATTATATATAAATTTATATATATATATAATAAATATAAGTATTTATTCATATATATATATATATAAATATATATGTTTCATATATAATTTGACATGATAATATATCAACTCTTCTATAATTTATATATAAATTTATATATTTTTGTATAAAAATGGACATATTTCACATATAATTTTACGTATAATTATACAATCATTTATATATAATTATATATAAAAAAATATTTCCCGGGATATCAATATTAGGATATAGATCATCACATCGATTTTAGACGCTATTTGTAATATGTGGTATTTATAATATATAATACCGAAATTTTACCTCTTATAGAGAACGCAGTTAGTCGTTGAGGAGATGACGCAGGAGCAGCGAACAGGCGCGAAAAAACACATTCTCGATCGCCAGATCAAAATTTCGCAGTTCGGCGCATTGCGAAAAGTTGTGCGCGAGCACGATACCAACGTAAAGACACGAAATGTCGATCTCGAAACACTCGTAAAACCGCAGAACTCGATTACGTCACTGATGACGTGCGACACGCGCGCGAAATTGTATCGAACTACGAAAAACCGGATGTAGCCGCGAGATCAGCCGGCCGGCCGGCATGTAGGTTAGATTCTTCTTTTCTTATGTTATAGATGCCGACTGCTTTCGTCCACGCGAGAATCAAGGATATCTTTCTTATTATTAAAAAAATTAGCAAATAAATGGAAAATAATAAACACTCTAATCTGTCTCGTCAGCTTTGGCCGACTAATTAATATCCATGATCACAGATGTCGTATACTAAATCAATGATCACGTATATAATTGCGAAGTATTATAGTCCCATAGAAAATGTTCAAATCAAGCGATTATAAACGAGATAACTTGAAATATATAAATATATTTAAGATATATGTATATTGAATCTATTTATTGCGGTCTTCTGGAGCCATACCTCGAAATCGGCAGCCTTGTTTTATACCGTGTTGTTACACTCGCGATTGGCCAAACGCGCGGCATGCGGAACTGCGGCACGCGCGCGATCGATAATACAGGTTGTCGCGTGGCGATGGCGTTGACGTGAAAGTGAAAGTGGGGGAGGGAAGAGACGGCGGCGCCGTTCGCACGTGACAGGTCACCTGATCACATTCGAGCGCGTACGATAATCGCGCGGCGCCGATCGCACGTGACGGAGTCGTTCGATCGTTCAAGCGTATACGCGACGAGTCACCTGATTTAATTCGCGACGCGTCGAACGTGCATGAAAAAATGCAGCGACGCGCGCTAACGTTCCGCTCTTGCGATGCCGTCGACGCTGGCGGCGGAAAACGCGTCGCGCGACTGACGGCAGGTCTTGCCGCCCTCGCTGATTCATCCCCGACGTCTCCCCCGCTATCTACCAACGATATCCCCTTCGATTCATTTTACCAACGCGCGCGTTGTTCGTCCGACCCCAACGCTGCCATGCAGTAGATGCACGCGTGCTCGACGTCGCTTTGTAGAGTCGACGACGACGAGGCGCTAATTAATGGACCCTCGAAATACGCTTTTCCTTTAATAACGGAGATTCAGAACGTTCAGAAACAAAAATTTGTCTTTACTTTCGGAATATCGCAATCGTTTCTTCTCTTCTAACATGCACATTATCTACTTTATATTTAATATCGTTTAACATTTATATGATATAATAAAAGAGAGAATAAAAGAGAGATATGATATATGAGATTTATGAACTATCCAATAATTTAATTTCAATTATATTTATATATATAATTTAATTAAATTTAAAATTCAAATAAAAATTCATGAAAGTATTCTTTCTTCTATGCATTGTAATCTAAATAACTCAGTTTTGCAAATTTTAACTTTATTGATTTAAAAATTACATTTGAAAATGTACACACACATAATCCAAAGAAAAAAAACACATAATTCATCTTTTACAAAGAGTATAAAATATCTTGTTTGCAAAATAAGCCTCGTTCCTTCTCATACTGCATTTCTACGTTTTAGAGAGGTATTTTAAATCTCAAGCTAATATCGACCAGCCGGCTCTGAACATTTCCACAACCATGAATACATTGTAGTGGAAGATCGAAGATTACAAAAAGTCGGTCGCGCGATATAGTGCATGTATTATACAAAACATGCGAATTAAATTTGCAACAAATTGTGCACGTATGTATACAAAAATTATTCTTACAAGCCTCAAAAGACATAATCAAATCATGATAAAATTTATTTCCATTACATTCATCATTCTATCATCGATATTTTTTAAACAATACGTTATGAGATGCAAATAAAAAAAAATGTAAAAAATTTCGAAAATATAGACGACAAAGTACTTATTTCATTATTAGCGTTTCCAGAAAGTCCTGACAACGTAATGTCAACTACACGATGAGAGAGTAAAACTGTTAAAATACAATTTGACATTCCAATCGTGCAACAGATATTCATATAATATATATATAACTATACAAAACATTAGACACATCTAACACATCCGACTAAGCGTAGACTTAGACTTTAAAATCGTCTTTAGTTGAATATAATAAATTTCTTTAGTTTGCAGTTGCATACCTTAAAATATAAATGGTTTAAAAATTACAATAATTAAAAAAAACTGTAAAAAATGATCATTAGTCGAACTTAAAAATTTTTAAATTCTGCTTTTTCCAGCGATATATATTTTGATTGCGAATGATAAAAACAGCAAAAAATTTTAAAAACGACTGCGCCAGCATGTTTGAAATATCTCAAAGTTGGTAACTTTTTAAATTTTTCGCTTCAAGATCGACATTCATCTATATTCGATTAAAGACATTAGATCGCACATGGAAATGTCGTGTTTTTACAATATTAATGTGAATGTGTCACCTGAGTTTGAAAAATAATTTTTTTATCCAGGAAATGATGGCATTTCGATCGCATGCGTCGTCAATGTAAAAATCACAAATATAAAATTATGACCGAATTTTAAAATAACGCAAATTCGAATGCGCAGTCTTATTGAGAATCGTTTCTAGTTGTGTAAAGTAATTTTCGTTTCGCTTGTAGTTGCATACTCAAAAATCACAGTACTTTAAAAAAACTGTCAAAAACGATTTTTCTTATATTTTCAAATTCTGCTTTTTCCATCGATATATCTTTCAATTGCGAATGTTCCGAAAAACGATTCTAAACACAACTGAACATGTATACTAAATATATCTTAAAGCTTGTCACTTTTTAAATATTTCGCTTCAACATCGAAATCGATCTATCTTCGCTTAAAAAATTTGAACGCATTTGAATATGCGTTTTTATATATATATATGTGAATCTGACAGCAGAATATAAAAAATTAATTTTTTTAATACCGAAAATGATAGTACGTCGATCGCTCGCGTCGTCTATAAAAAAATTCAAAGTTCAAGTTTTTCCCCACATTAAAAATAACGCAAATCCAAATCAGCAGTCTTATTAAAAATCGTTAATAAATGTGTGTAATGAATTTCGTTTCGCTTGTAGTTGCACACTTTAAAAAATACAGCAGTTTCAACAAAACTGTCAAAAATGAATTTTTTCAAATTTCAAGATTTTTCAATTCTGCTATCTAGAATCGATGTAACATTCGTAGGCGAATGTCCCAAACCACAAGAAAACAATTCTGAACACGACGGAGCATGTATATTTGACATATCTTAAAGCTTGTCACTTTTTAAATTTTTCGCTTCAACATCGAAATCGATCTATCTTCGCTTAAAGACTTTGAACGCACTTGAAAATGTGTTTTTAATATATATTAATGTGAATCTAACAGCTGACTATAAAGAATTAATTTTTTTAATACCGAAAATGATAGTATGTCGATCGCTCGCGTCGTCTTTAAAAAATCCAAAGTTCAAGTTTTTCCCCAAATTGAAAATAACGCAAATCCAAATCAGCAGTCTTATTAAGAATCGTTTATAGATGTGTGAAGTGAATTTCGTTTCGCTTGTAGTTGCACACTTTAAAAAATACAGCAGTTTAAACAAAACTGTCAAAGATGAATTTTTTCAAATTTCAAGATTTTTTAATTCTGCTTTCTAGATCGATGTAACATTCGTAGGCGAATGTCCCGAACTACAAGAAACGATTCTAAACATGACTGAGCATGTATATTTGACATATCTTCAAGCTTGTCACTTTTTAAATATTTCGCTTCAACATCGAAATCGATCTATCTTCGCTTAAAGACTTTGAACGCACTTGAAAATGTGTTTTTAATATATATTAATGTGAATCTAACACCTGACTATAAAAAATTAATTTTTTTAATACCGAAAATGATAGTATGTCGATCGCTCGCGTCGTCTTTAAAAAATCCAAAGTTCAAGTTTTTCCCCAAATTGAAAATAACGCAAATCCAAATCAGCAGTCTTATTAAGAATCGTTTATAGATGTGTGAACTGAAATTCGTTTCGCTTTAAAGTCGCACACTTTAAAAAATACAGCAGTTTAAACAAAACTGTCAAAAATGAATTTTTTCAAATTGAAAATAACGCTAATCCAATCAGCAGTCTATTAAGAATCGTTTATAGATATGTGAACTGAATTTCGTTTCGCTTTAAATCGCACACTTTAAAAAATACAGCAGTTTAAACAAACTGTCAAAAATAAATTTTTCAAATTGAAATAACGCAATTCAAATCAGCAGTCTTATTAAGATCGTTTATAGATGTGTAAAAACTGAAAATTCGTTTCGCTTTAATACCGCACACTTTAAAAAATACAGCAGTTTAAACAAAACTGTCAAAAATAAATTTTTTAAATTGAAAATAACGCAAATCCAAATCAGCAGTCTTATTAAGAATCGTTTATAGATGTGTGAACTGAATTTCGTTTCGCTTTAAACGCACACTTTAAAAAATACAGCAGTTTAAACAAAACTGTCAAAAATAAATTTTTTCAAATTGAAAATAACGCAAATCCAAATCAGCAGTCTTATTAAGAATCGTTTATAGATGTGTGAACTGAATTTCGTTTCGCTTTAAGTCGCACACTTTAAAAAATACAGCAGTTTAAACAAAACTGTCAAAAATGAATTTTTCAAATTGAAAATAACGCAAATCCAAATCAGCAGTCTTATTAAGAATCGTTTATAGATATGTGAACTGAATTTCGTTTCGCTTTAAGTCGCACACTTTAAAAAATACAGCAGTTTAAACAAAACTGTCAGAAATAAATTTTTTCAAATTGAAAATAACGCAAATTCAAATCAGCAGTCTTATTAAGAATCGTTTATAGATGTGTGTAAACTGAATTTCGTTTCGCTTTAAGTCGCACACTTTAAAAAATACAGCAGTTTAAACAAAACTGTCAAAAATAAATTTTTCAAATTGAAAATAACGCAAATCCAAATCAGCAGTCTTATTAAGAATCGTTTATAGATATGTGAACTGAATTTCGTTTCGCTTTAAAACGCACACTTTAAAAAATACAGCAGTTTAAACAAAACTGACAAAAATAAATTTTTTCAAATTGAAAATAACGCAAATCTAAATCAGCAGTCTTATTAAGAATCGTTTATAGATGTGTGAACTGAAATTCGTTTCGCTTTAAATCGCACACTTTATAAAATACAGCAGTTTAAACAAAACTGTCAAAAATAAATTTTTTCAAATTGAAAATAACGCAAATCCAAATCAGCAGTCTTATTAAGAATCGTTTATAGATATGTGAACTGAATTTCGTTTCGCTTTAAAACGCACACTTTAAAAAATACAGCAGTTTAAACAAAACTGACAAAAATAAATTTTTTCAAATTGAAAATAACGCAAATCTAAATCAGCAGTCTTATTAAGAATCGTTTATAGATGTGTGAACTGAAATTCGTTTCGCTTTAAGTCGCACACTTTAAACAATACAGCAGTTTAAACAAAACTGTCAAAAATAAATTTTTTCAAATTGAAAATAACGCAAATTCAAATCAGCAGTCTTATTAAGAATCGTTTATAGATGTGTGAACTGAATTTCGTTTCGCTTTAAGTCGCACACTTTAAAAATACAGCAGTTTAAACAAAACTG